ACAAACATTAACATTCAGTAACGATCAGTCTAGATATGCAATTTCTTTCACATGTGGAAGAGATTTGGGGGGTGGGCTGTCTCCAAAGCACTGGCGTTTCAGAGCTTCGTACCAGGAAGCAGGCAATGGGATACAAAGTTTTTATATAGCACGAAACCTTTTTCCTAATAGCTTCTAGCTCAATAAATATGAAATTGAAGTTTGTGATACTCTATAAAATGGAGTGCTCTGGATCTATGCTGTATTGAATTCAAACCTGTTATCTAAGTCAGCCTGGACTAGTAATAATTACAGTGAGTGATTAAACATCACTCTGCTATGGAAGAAGCCAGTCGCCAAACTGCAGCACGCATCTCTGTTTTGAAGCCAGGACATCTAAAGCTATTGGAATAATAGCTGTGATGTTATTAAGTAATTTCATTAACATGGCGTGATTATAGGAAACAGACATAATACATAGTCCAAAGAGTAGGAAGAGTTAACCAAAATGACAGAACTTCTTTTGAACAAAGACAATATATCTTCTGATCATGAAATCCTTAAGCGTTTAAAAATTCTCAAGAGAGAACTCTTATTAGTAGCATCACGTAACACAAAGATCCCAGGTAGGGTCAGAATCCTCTTGAGCTAGAAGCACACAGGGTTTACAAAAACTCCCAGCTTCTCCTGGCTTTAGCCAAGAAAAACATCTAATTATAGAGCTCTATTACTTACAGCTAATTTATGGCTTCAGAGCCACTGTGCACATAGCTTTCTGTTTGAGTCGACCCCTAAATGAACTGTTATGTTACCCTAATGCCAGACCCTTTGAAAGTCAGGTACCAAATATCTTTGTCTGAAACGTGTTGATTACTATTTAATAAAGCAGTTGTGGGTATTTTCTCCTCTCTCCCTGGAGAGCTGCTGGAGAGCACTCACGTTGCTTAGTCACTAAAATTTGTTAGAGAGCACTAGGTGATTATTGAGACTGTTTCCAGTGCCACGCCATGCCTGGACAGCAGCAGAAGGGAAATGATGAGCACAAAAGTGTGTATGACTTTTCACAGTCCCAGCAGTCCTCACTTCCTTTCAACCAGACCCTGCCTGACCTCACTGGCAATACGCAAGCTAAGTGTGCAGCTGCTGTATAAGTGATGTTCGCTCTGCTTTGCATATACCCACGCACATACCAACCACCGACGTCACGCTAACTGTAACAAGCTCCCTTCCCACTTGAGAAAAAAATCAGTTTTCATCACACAAAGAACAAATCAAGCTTGAGAAGGAACACGTACCTCCGTTCGTAGCCTGTACACCACAGTTGTCCTCCACAATCTTGTTTCCATACTTTGACCATACGAGTAAAGGCCTGGACACACGGCTGCCTGTGCCCCACTATCGCCAGCTCTTGCTCCGCACAAACATTTGGCCTGTCACAGAGAAGCAGATGTTTACTGGAATCTGCACGTCACTGAGAGACGAGTGCAATGCACTCAGCTTAAACAGTTTAAAGAGGCACCAGGTATGGGTAACTTCATTTACTTATTGGAAAGAGGAGGAAGATCTTAAAATTATACAATATTTGTCTCCTTGTTTGATTAAATCATACAGGAGTGCAAGGAAAAGATGTGTGCCAGGTACACCAGCCAAAAGTCATCCAGTGGTTGTCAAATATAACCCTTCAACCTCTTCCTGGAAACTCACGGGAGCCAATTCAGGTGAGGAACCTGAATTTCATGCTCTTGTGAAAAGATACTCTGTTCACAACATGGCACTTGCACCAGCAAAACATACAGTACAATGTTGAGATCTATATTTCTCAAAAGCATGGCACTAGACCTCCATGAAACACTTAAGCATCAAAGAACTCCTACAAAGTAAACATCACCATCCAGTATTTTATAGACGGAAAACTGAAACGCAGCGAAAAGATACATTTTGACTAAGTCTATGCCATGAATCAGGAGCAGATATGGAAAGCCTTCTCAGTTTTGAATCTCTTCCTCAAAATGAATAAACATGACTCAGTGCGCGCCGTATGTCTGTTCTAATTGTAACTCTTTTTCACCAATAACGAGTCAGTAGTTTTTATCTAAGAATGAAGAAGGAAATATTTGTCCCTGAATTAATGAGTTACAAGCCATTCATTATTTGGGACTGTTTCTGGTTCTAATTCTAAAAGGGCTTGTGAGTTTGCACAAAAAACACTTTCTGTAACAGAAGTTTAAACTAAATAATTCAGACATGGTGAAGAACAGAGACTGCAGCTGGCATCTCACTGCTCCAGGACATTCAATTACACTACTGTTATAGAAAGCCTGGAAATGCCTTTAGGATTAATGGCATGTTTCCCCCAATAGCTTTGCTGGAAAATCTTTCCTTGTCATTCCCACATGTGGCCACTGCAGAGCTGTTCGACTAGTAAAGCCTCCCACACATCAGTTCACTAGTATAATAGACCCAAGTGCTAATGGTGAATGCCAGAGAAGCTGTTTTATTTCGTGATTGTCTCCATAAACAGAAAGCAGCAAGTTCATCCATTTAATAAATATGTAAGTTTGTATTAGAGGAAACTTAGAGAAGGGTATTCCCCTGTACCCTGGATGTCTCTTGCTGTTAATGCACAGATACCTTAACTCTTAGCTCTCTGCATTTCTGAAAAAAGAACCAAAAGGAACACAAAAATGAAGTTGGCAGAGGCAACGTTTTGGTGTAATTTATTACAGTGGAGAAGGGCGGACAAAAACCTTAAACAGTGGTTTTGTGTCCAGCAGGCATTGTCTGCAATGCCCTATGGGAAATGACAGCACTTCCCAGTCCCTGGCATTTTCTTTTCTCTGATACCTTGGCGCACATCTCATCTCTAGTGCCTCATCCAAGATGCCCTAAAAGTATTTGTCAAGGCAGAAACATAAAATCTCAGACATAGGGAGAAAAAGTATCTTTGCAAAAACCTCTCCCTGCTGAGGAGGAGTCCCCTCTTTCCTAAATCAAAAAGTTAGAATCATAAGAGAGAGTAGTTTGGAGTCAGTACACTCTGCAATGCCCGTTTCATTTACAAAAAGAAACAGAGCAGTTCCCCTGCATCAAGAGATCATCTTCTGGCAGGAGACCAAATTTGCAAGGAAGTTTTCCAAAGGAACCAAACAATTAATGCCAAACCGTAACTGTAACGTTTAATTAAAAGGAAAGAACTAAGTGCTTCTGGAGAACTAGCAAAAGGAGAAAATGAAATATTAAGAAGAGTGCAGTAAGAGAGATGCAGGAAAGAGCAATGAAAATAGCAGTTCTGTGAAAAAAGGTCAGACTATTTACACTACAATAATTGCCTCTCATGCTCACACAATAGCAACACTTCAGTTAAAACAGTGAATTTCCTCATACAAGCAATGACTATCCAGATTTTCAAGTTTCTATTCACCTTTATGTACATTTGGTACTAGATAAAGAGACACAGAACAACCCCTCCCCCCTACTTCTCCCTCCACCCTTGATTTTTAAAAATTGTACTTTGCTTCTGCTTTACAGTTTTCCTGCTCTGTAGAAACACTGTGGATACTCTTTTCTCGGTACTTACATGTGAGGCTGAAGCTTGTTCCCAGAAGCAAGTGATGATATTTGCAATGCAAGGATGAATGATAGCGCCAACACGTGCAACTCCATCGCAACAGTTCCTCTCTCTTCCCCAAGGTGCTTCTAGCGGATGCCTAGAAAATTTTGCAGCCTTCTTGAGCAAGATTAGCAAGTTCCTATTCCTCAAAGGAAAACATGAGTTGCCACCTCCTGTTTCCAACTTGCTAGTTTCTCTCTTTCTTGCGAAGAACAATGCTATTGGAGCACACAGGGATTCTTGCTGGGGTTCACTGGGAGAGCAGATTTATCACTCCTGGATGCTTTCTCCCAAATGGACTCAGTTCAGCAAGTTTCTTCAGTCTGTGGAAATTATTATATGGCAGATTGTCACTGAGTTTTTCCCCAAAACAAATCTGGCTTCTTATGCTCATTTGATAGTAGTGACATACACTGAAGTGACTTTTCCTTCTGGCGTTTGCTTCTTGACAAGGTCCAAAGACCTGATGGCTCACAAGATCTCAGTTCTGTCCAGGAATGAAGTCCCATGTGGATTTAGCTGATTTGAAGTCCTGATCCACTTCATAAAGCAATACATAATCAGCACTCAGGAAGGAATAAAGGGGGGGGGGGGGCTCTCCTGGGCACAAAGTAGTCCACTTTCCAGAGGACTTTTCCAAAAGTAGGCAGAATTTTCATTTAACCCATCCACACAGCTAAAGCCATCCTCCCGATACGGCTTCCCAACTTTCTCCTGAGACGATACTGAGTTAACGCATACACAAAGAGCAGCTTTCCTGTATTTCAAGAGAGTAACAAAACTTTCCTCCTGCCTTTCCCAGGTCTAGCTCTTTTCACTCACATGCCCTCTTGTTTCTTTTCTTGCTGACAGTCAGAAATCCCTCCCACCAGCTGTGTCCAACCCCAAAGAGAGGAGGGGGAAAACCCTGCAGAACAGTAGCAGAAATCATTTGGTTTTGTTGCTCAAAAGATAGTTCTTTTACACTACCCAAGGACAACTTCTGTACACACCCTCCAAAACCCATTCCCCAGCAGGTCTGAAAATACCCCAGAGATGTAACCTTTCCGATGCATTCTAACAGATGACAAAACTAACGACTTCCCAAGGAAATTCTGATGAGCATGTAAAACTTACAGGGAAAAATCCAACCTGCACTTGGCTGGCAGAGTGCTATTAAATGATGAGTTCGCTGCAGGGGGGAGGGGGGATACACTAGCCAAAGAAGAAGGTAGGGAACAAGATTAAATTGTTTTCTGCCTTCTCCTATCAAACTCTCTACTATAAAGGGAAACTGGACAAAAAGAGGAGTTGATTGGGATTAGACTGAAATAGGGTGATGGACAGAGAAATAAGGAAAGTGTTTTACTCAGCTGTGCTACCTGAGGAGCATAGCTGCTATTTAATTTTATTTTAGCCCTTGTAGCTGGTGACATGACTGCCCAAAGGGCCCTTTTCGCCAGAGTATAAGCACTAATAAACATAGCAGCCTTTTGAGGTGCCTGCACAGCCTACTCTTCTGCACTACACCTTTTTTTTTTTTTTGCAAATACCATTTAAGAGCAAATATTATTCACAATTCTCTTTTTCTTTCAGACTTGACATGCAGAAAAAAATATCCTGCTTGCAACAGATATTCTGGTTTGGGGTAAAAAAGAAAAGTTGTGCCTCTAAGCACACTTCATATATTTATTTTGGACTCCTGTTGAGAATGGCCTGGCTGGCTCAGGAGGAAGGATTCTGAAATGTTCGTTTTCAGACTCCTGACTCAAACCAAATCCAGTTGTGTTCCCATTCCATGACAGTCAGCTGGCCACTTTGAAATGACAAAGTGGGGAGAGAAGTGCCGAGGTCTAATTCTCAGATGGTTCGCTGCTGAGTTCCCTCTCCCCTCCCCGTCTTCTCTCAGCTTCTCCGCATCCCTCCCCCAAGGGCCCGAAACAACTATAACAAGCATCACTAATTGTTACTGCCAGTCTTAACAGAAACGGTGAGGAGTGAAGAGCTTATGGAAGACTGATTTGCCTTCTGACTTTCTTCCAGAAAGGAGGGACATACTGTGGCTGATACAAAAGGTAGTGGGAAGAACATAGCAGTGTGGGAATGCTGCAGTAAAACTCTTCCACCTGGAGAATCTGTTGACATAAATACTCTTACTGAAAAGGAGGAGGAATCAAAGAAGCAGATGAGCACTGCACCGTTGCCCATGTGTAGCCCTAGGCAAAACTGACCTTTCACAAAAAAACAGAATATAACAAGGAGGCTTATATGAACAACTGAAAACGTAGATGACTTACAAAACAATGCATTCTTCTGAGTGTTGCAATTAGTGTCACAACTGTCCGCATTCTACCTATGGAACTCAAAGTGAGGAAAAGCTATATACATTCCAATTCAGTCTTGAGCAGTGCTGAAAAAGACCAGATTTGCAGTATCCTACCCCCACTTTGTATTTTATTGTCTGAAACAGTATTGAGTAGGGATCTTCACTTGCTGGGTGCTGAACATACATACAAAGTACAATTCTTGTTCCCAAAGAGTTTACTGGAAAACGAGGGCAATCAATGATACATAAGATTCTCTAAGTTCATTGCACAGAACTATTGGTTGCCCTTGAAACACATCTTATGTTTACCCAAAGAAGTGAATAAGAAAGCAAATTTGCTTTTTAAAGCAAATTATTAGCTAAAATGACCACAGAACCGAAACCTTTCAATGCTCCACACTACTTCTAAGGGCAGCGACCCAGGGAGCCAAAGAGAAAACTCCAAGGTTCTTTGCTCATGTTTCCACCTCCCTCTTGTCTCTCTTGATGGTGAATTTAGTACGGCAAGAAGAAAGCTAGAATAGCAAAATAGCATGCTTAGCTCAGAGAGGAGAGAAAAGCTAAACCCTGACATACACAGGGAAGATATTTCAGTTGTAATAATATATTTTAAGGAGACTTCAGAGTCCACGCTGTACATATATTTCACCACCTGAATGACATACTATGAACTTTATACCAAGACTAAAGCCACCAGTGATCCATGACCAAAAGTTGATAGCAAGTAGAAGAAACTGAGGCAGATGGGTTTTTACACATATTGACCCTTCTGAAATCCCAGCAGTTATATAAATCATTTTAGGTTAGAGAGAAAAGAGGGCAAGATCAGCTAACATCATCACTTAGAAATAAAGTATCTGCCAGGCCTAAAAAGTAGGAAGACAACATCTTTCATTGTTGCTGGAAAAGAAAGGCAACTACATAAAAACGCTCTATAATGATGCAGAGAACTTCAAGATAGAATAAATTCAGGCCTCCCTTTTCCTGTCAGGTCTTTAAAGGTTAGCTTGTGCTTATAACAGGGAAACTGTAGGACTGCTCACAGTTGTTTTCTGTTTCACTGATAAATTTGGGGGTTTTTTCTTTTAAAGGCAGATAACTTACTATTGTTATCTGAGAATCTTTCTTCAAATGTAGTTTGATGCTCCGCTTAGATCCGAACAGTAGCTTCGACAAACGTAGCACCAGGTACGTTGTGTCTATATTTTTAAGACATCCAGATGACATCTGCTTTCGTTCTAAATTAAAAGGAAGAAAAAACACCCCAAAAACTCATTGGATCTCAATTCCACTGCCCCAGCCTCGGAAGGGGAAGTCAAAATGACTCCCCTCTGATCAGTATATCACCCTAGAAAAAACTCCACTCTAAGCACATTGCAACACCAGGGCACCCATCTCCCTGAGCACCAACTGCGCTGCCTGGCATGCACGTACCTTAAAGAGCATGAGGCAAGGGGAAGGAGTCCATTTCTAGGGCGCTGAGAAGGGTAAAAAGGAGCCTTTTCTCCACCACAAGCAGGTCTGGAGCAGTCAGAGCTTGGAGTGTGGCTCCCTCTCCAGGACACAGCTCAGCCCACGCCCTGACTGGGTGGACAGCCAAAGCTCCAGGGGGCAGCCTGAGCCCTAGCGGGGACAGAGAAAGGAAAAATTACTGCAGGGATTATTCCACTTCCAGCCATAGCTTCCAAACTCAGGTCTCAGGTGATAGGCCTGGCTACAATACAGAGAGGAGACAACTTACAAAGCAGCTGCAGGCTGCCTTTCCGGGGGGAGGGGGCAGTGACATTGGCCAGTTGCCCTATTCTGCGGCTCTGCCACAGCCATCCTCAGCGGCTTGTCTGGGAAGAGGAGGGGAAACTCTGGTGGGAAAAACCGCTTTAAACGTAGTGGTAGAAGTTACTGAATGCAAAGCCAAGTCTACGTTTCTTTTGTAAGTCAGGTTAAAGAAAGCAGTGAGGTTTTCTACTGAAACATGTTCACATAGGCAAGGGTTGCAGAGAGTACAGTGCAAATTCATGAAACACATGTAAAAGATGGATATCTGAAATCCAGTACTATGTGCAAAGTCCACTCAGTATGCTTTCAATTTTTTACTGTTTCCCAGCACATTTGCCTGCTAAGGATGTCATCCTCTGGCCCAAAGTAAAACAGCCCTGGAAAGTGGTCAAAGATACGATATGGTTTCATAAACAGTGCTGATAACGTCTGCAGTAAAGCCGGAGGCTACAGAAATGTTTTAAGAGCTTGCTATTTGTTCTCTAACGTTGTTTAGCCTTTAACGTTAAGCATGCCAAGGACGGCACAGGTTTTAGGGCTGCATTTAGACCTCTCTAGGCCTGGTGTGTCCGGTTTTCCCAGCCGGAGTCCCTGGCGTGAATATATGTACAGGTTCTGTATTGGGGGGGGGAGGGGGGCGTAGTCTTCACCCTCGGTTTCAGCACGGGTCGGGATCTGGGGT